AATGGAAAAAATGCTTTGACAAGTGGTTCGAACGCATGCAAAAGTGTACAGATCATAAAGGAGAATATTTTGAAAAACAATAAATGACAAATTATTGTTTTTTTATTATTAGGCTCAAAATATAAATAGTGACCCTCGTAAATCATCTCTTGTCAGTACTAGAAACCCTTCTAACTCATGTGCATCGAACGAGACAAATATGACAATTTTGCGGTTCAGATTTTGTTCTTGTATTAATCGAAATAACAGATTTGGTTTGTGTAATCGATCTAACATAAGTTGTGCAATCTCTTCCGAATGTTCAGCGTCTGATATGATGACCGAATAAAACATATTATGAAAAGCAGCGGCATTTCGAAAATCAATCATTAGATGGGGAATCGATTGGACGATTAAAATACGCGAAGCAAGTTTTAAGATGCCCATTGATAACTTCCATTACAAAATCTGACTTTAATTACTAATCGCGAATTATTACCAAGCTTATCGCTTAGTTGATTTTCACCAGGTGGAATGATATGTGGCACTTTGACCACAAATCCCTTACATTCCAAATATTTTTTAATGTCACGAAAACCTCTGTCAACAACAAATACATCGCCGTTGTGAAATCTATAACGTACCTCAGTCATCTTCTCCATAATTTTTCGCATGATGCTTGCATCATTTTCAGTAACCTTGAAACGTCTATGATATATTCATTAAGAGCAGCACATGTCATAGGTTTTATTAAAGGACGTTGTTTGTGCATACTATAGCAGGATCTTTGAAAAACATTGTTCAAACTTTTATGTATATAAACATAAGTGCCATCCCATATTGTTATTAAAGACGTTTGTTTAGGAAGCAGTAGCTTCCCAGTAAGCAAGAAACATTTTGAAACTTTTCGACAACGTTATAACAATGTTACAACGTTGCTGAAATGTTTCAAAGTGTTTCTTGCTTACTGGGTTACAGGACATATTCGTACGTTTTTCAAGTATTTGATTTCTGCTTAAGGGGATGCTGGAGTGACGGTCGAAGTTAATCAAAGTCGATAGTACAGACTTTTTTACATTCCAAATTCGATAATAGTGACATCTTTCATTCATTTCTTATACTTATCTATATCGTTGTGTCTCGCTCAAACGCATTCATCTGTCCTTATCTGACATATTGCAACGCCATCTCTTAGAAAGAGATCAACTAAAATACTGCACGGTTTCATAGCTTCACGTCAATTTTATTCGTAGTATACGAACGAAATTTTTGGCGACTCTTTTCTCTTGTACCAAAGCCCCTACATCGTTTCTAAAAGCATAGGATTGTTGTTCAAGGTTTTCTGTAGGCTGCTGGCTACTTATTTTAAACGGGTAAAATCTGAAACTCTTATATGCAGCACATATTGTGACGAGTTGACTGCAAGAGCCGGTGACAAAACTACAATTTTTAATTTTCTTTCATTTTTCGCATTACATTGTAGCTGGCAGCCTGTGTTGTTGTCGATACTTTAATTGTGGAGAAGGACTTTTCAATCCATAAACACAATTAAGAGAAAAGAGTCTTTAAAAATTGATGTGGTAAAACAGGACACTCCAGCATCCCCTTAAATGTGAAAATCCCAAATATTGAAGTGTAAAGTCCGTCGCAATTGCATTTCGTACATTTTTCATCGCTCTGTAGTACTACATTTACCATTTACGAAAATATGAGCAAGATTTTGGCTTGCTATGTTCTGTTCTTAGTTTTGCAAGATAAATGGCAAGCGCACATTCAGTGTGACGCTGTTCACTGTGTCATAAAAATGGCAGTTTATTTAACAATCGCGAGAAGTTTTCTTTATTTAACCTAGTTTAATGCTCCACAACAGTATCCTCTATATCTTCAAAATAATCGAAGTTTACTGTTGAACGTTGTTGTTTAATAATCTGGTTACTTAACAAATCGATCATATCAGTTACTTGGTCCGCCGTAAAAACTTGGGTTGTTTTATAATAATAGGAACCTCTGTCCACAAGTATTTATTGTGATGGTCACACACGTGCGCCTCTGCAGGAATATAAAAGCGAAAATCTTTCGCAACCTGAGTGCGAGTGTTCTCCGACACACGATGTCGACCTGTGGGACAACCAAATATACACTTTTTTTGACTGCAAGATGCCCTACTAATGTCCAATTTGAAAAAGAGGCTGCGGTTCAATGTTTTTAACTGTAACGTTTCCATCTCTCGTTTCAGTACGTTTTCTTTTATAATGGCACCAACAGGCATAACATATATATTTAAATGTGTTGAGTGGAGCTCTTGTGGAACTACTAGGCTCTTGTTCTAAAAAATCTAGCACTTCCCCAGCCAATAAATGTTTACGCGACTGATTTTTTAAATATTTTCCACATTGCCCACAGTGAATCTCATCGCGACCAGTAGCTGTTTCGGAGTGATTCCGTACCAAAGGCTGATTTACCCCGATTGGTACATTCGCCACTTGTCCATCTTCTCCCTCAGGGCGAACTCCAGGAGCATCGCCGTCATTACAAGCAAATCCGAATTTCTGTGACATGACGGCATGAATCGCGACCAGAGATTTAGCCAGATTAATAAACTGTACCAAATACATTTTAGATATTCAATGTTTTGGTACGTTACCGCCCTCACCGCAAGAAGGTGCCCTGGACGCAGAGAAATTGGATAAGACTAGTGGTATATGGTCATAATAGCGAACTTTGGATAGTTCTAACACTCACGAAACCTCTTCTATAAAGTTCGGCTTACGAAATTTTTGATTCTCTTTTGATACCTTGAAATTTTAGGCATGTCTCAAAGTTCCCTTACAGAAAAATACTATTAAGAATCAATATAGTTACTATTGGTATTCCAGTAGTTACGAGACTACTGAGACTCGTACTACTGAGACTCCAGTAGTTATTACTTAGACTCCAGTAGTTACTATTGAGACTCTAATAGTTACTATTGAGGCTCTAATAGTTATTATTATGACTCCAATAGTTTAAACTTCGGAGAACCTGAAAATAATTATTATAATAACGCCAGATTCAAGGGGAAAAATTGATACATAAATAAAATAAGTAAAGTAAATAAAAATCATTATTTGCATCATTATAAAATCACTGCCAGTTATGTTTTAATTATTTATTAATGAAATTAATTCCAAATTGGATCAAACACGAATAGTATTGCACCATAAAACGTTAATTAGATTATATTTTTCATTATAACATTTGTTATCATGAGATACACAACGCATGATGGAATGGGGGAAACGGTACCAAGATGATAAATGTTTATAACGAAAAATATATTCTAATTAACGTTTTATGGTGCAATATTGTTCGCATTTGATCCAGTTTGGAATTAATTTCATAAATAAATTATTGAAACATAACTAACAGTGATTTTTTTATAACGATGCGAATAAGGATTTTATTCACCTTTATATCAATGTACCAATTTTTTTTAGGTCTGGCGTTATAATAATGATTATTTTTTATTTTTACGAAAAGAAATACATAAGAAAACATAGAAATAAAATAATCCCCGAGTGGTCGCGCGAAACCTTCGAAAATTTGTGTACAATATATACTCGACTCCTTTTTATTGATCAATAGTAACTATTGACCAACAGTAACTATTGGCCAACAGTAACTATTGACCAACAGTAACTATTGGCCAACAATACTAACTATTAGCCAAATTACTATTGGCTATTTTACTATTTGTTAATAGTTTTTTTCCGTAAGGGTTGTTCATCCGGGGCCCAAATTCCCCTATAAAACTGGGCACAGTCCTTTGAAATAAATTTTCCGAACAACTTAATATTATTTAACAGACAATTAATTGAGGAAGCATATTATATAAGTGCAATGAAAAAAAAATGCTATATGAGGTTTGATTAGAAATACTTTAAAAGTTATAATATAATATAAGTTATAATATATAAACAGTTGTAATGGAACATGAAATAGAAAACAATAGGTTTTACATTGCGCAAAATATGGAACCGTATATTTCATGTATGGAAAGATGTGTTTATCTCGTGTGAATATTAACATCTTACTTACTATCTTTAAATGATCCAGTATCATTTCGATCTGTGTGTAAATATATGATATTCATTCAGCTCTGAGACAACAGCTACACTTAAAAAGATTATAACTGTTTTCATCTTCGAAAAACATAGTAACTGCCGTCAAAATGTCAATGTTTCGTCAAAATGCCACTAACATATTTTGTTTCAATATTTGTTCTTGGCTTATTTAGCAATAAAGCATACTTCATATAACTTTTTTTTTATTCCTGTATGTATATTTGTTAGATATAATACTCCCGCAAAGAGAAGTTGTCCACTAAATCCCGAAGCACCCTATATAAATATATACTATATGTATATGCGCGTGTGCGTTTATTAACGTATTTACATTAGACGTGATCGATCGATCAAGAAAAATCGTAAGAAAATTAAAAAGAAACATTTTGTATAAGTAAAACTCTATACTTTTATGTAAAAGTATCAAATTTTTTTAAAACGTACTTTTTATCAAACTGCAGATTGTTGAATGTACGTAATTTTAAGAATCATATACAGGGTGTCCTAAAAAGGTCGGAACACCTAAATATCTCGGGAAATATAAGTTTTACAGAAAAGTGTTTCAGACAAAAGTTATATGGTTTAAAAATATCTATTTACTGATCCTATCAGTTTGACCTTGGGTTGCGTAGCCAAGGTCAGGTCAAGGTTACATTGATTTTCTTAAATAGAACACCCTATTTTTGATTCAAGAATCTAATAGCTGATGTCGAGAGCTTTCCAAAACGCTGTAATGAAATATACAACATGATATTAGTCGCATGTTTGTGCAAAGAATTTTGAAGAAAATCAAGTTCCACCCGTATAAAATTCATCTGGTACAAGAGTTTAGCGAAGATGATTTTGATCGTCGTATGGAATTCTGCGACGTCATGATGAGAAAAACTGATGATGACCCCAATTTTGTTTTGAATGTAGTTTTTTCAGATGAAGCTACTTTTGAATTGAATGGTCTTGTCAATAGACATAACTGTAGATTCTGGTCTGACAACAATCCTCACTGGATGCTGGAAGATCACACGCAATACCCTCAAAAGTTGAACGTCTGTGTAGGTCTGTTGAATAATACATTGATCGGCCCATTTTTCATTGATGGAAATTGGAACTCTGTAAAGTATGAAGATATGCTGAGGAATGAAATAGTTCCAACAATCAGAGAGATTGTGAGAGATAACTTTGCTCATACATGGTTTCAGCAAGACGGTGCTGGACCGCATTATGGTAGAGGTGTACGAAATTTCTTAGACACGGAATTTTTCAACCGATGGATTGGAAGGAGAGGACAGATAGAGTGGCCACCACGTTCACCTGATTTATCACCGCTGATTGATTACTGATTGATTACTTCTTGTGGGGCTACCTGAAAGGCAAAGTGTATGCAACAAAACCAAGAAATTTAGAGGAACTTCGTCAAAGGATTATTGAAGAAGCTGCACTCATTACTCCAGAAATCCTCAGAAATGCCATATGCAGTTATTATGATCGAATAGCTCATTGTCAAACAGTAAATGGTGCACAATTCGAGCATTTAATATAATTACCTTGACTGTTTTTTTTCCGGCCGATCTCGCCTTGACTGGCTGGATCATGTCTAAAATTTGCCTTGACTGATTGGATCATGGTCATATCTTGCCTTGACTGGGTGGTTCGTGCTCATATCTTGGCTTGACTGGCTGGATCATGTCTAAAACTTGCCTTGACTGGCTGGATCATGGTCATATCTTGCCTTGACTGACTGGGTCATGTCTAAAATTTACCTTGACTGGCTGGTTCATGCTCATATCTTGTCTTGACTGGCCGAATCACAGACCTATCTTACCTTCATTGGCTGCATTTTTCTGCAATCTTTCTCCAAGCACAAAAGACATATCAATCCGCCTGGGCAACCTCCGCGTGGTATCACATATCTTGGGTAATGCTAGTGCCGGCGATACTGTAACTTTGAAGCATTATAACTTGAAAAGTACTTCATGAAAAAA